TTGGTGGAGAAGGAAGTTAGCAGAGCATCCCAGGGATCTGGGAAGCAGCCTCCACCTCCTGGAAGTTCTGGCTGTAGACTGGAGGACGGAAAAGTCAGCTTCACTTCTTAAGCTCCTGGGGCCAGGCCTAGAGTTTCCTCTCAGCAAACCTCTTCCATACACCTCTTTGCCTTCCTCTTGAACAAAGCCATGGTTCTCCAGCCTGCATCCAAAGGCCCTTTAAAATCTGGGGCCCCTTCCTCTCTAGCTTTACCCCTCTCTGTTGCCGCCTGAATGCTGTCCAAGTCTCTGGAGCCTTGTACAGCATGCAGGGGCAATGCTGAGGCTGTCCCCGTGCAACTGGTGCCAGGGGAAAAGGGCAACGGGCATCCAGGGATGCTGGCCTGGCAGTGGGGGGTGGGGGAATTTGAAGGAGCTGAGTCCCACTGAGGAGCTGCAGGGTGGGCAGGCAGACGCCCTGCAGCCTCCCCTCCTACCTCCCTGCCCAGGTAGGTCATAAGGCTCTCAGCCGCCCCAGCCACTTCCTCCCAGGCATATAGCAGCCGGCCAGAACTTCCTACTGGGGCTCCCCAACATTGATTGCACATGCCTCCCAACCCCCACTCAATGCCCCAGGACCACCAGGTGCCCCTCCTTCAATGGGGCGTGACTTTTCACCTGTCTCCCTCACCTGGAACATGTTGGTCCCTATGCCTGGTGCTGGTGGCATAGAGCAGGCACATGTCTGCTTACAGGCATATGTGAGCACCTGTTGTGTTCCAGGCACATGGTAGATGCATCCTCAAGTCCCTCTTTTGTTTGGCTTTTCTTTTCAATCTTGGTCTCTGTGGGCCCAGGGATGGGGCAGGGGTTGGAGGGTATAACTTGTGGCTGCCTACTTTCTGAAGCCCAGAGGATCTGCCCCTCAGTCACAAAGGCTGACCGCCAGCCAGGATCCCTACGACACCCTGTCTCCCACTCCCTGCCCCCACCTCAGTCACTCAGCCACTTGGGGCCTTGGGTGAATTTCAAAGAACTAGAGGTCATGGCTGACAAAGTTTGCAGATGTCATGAGCTAGGACCTCCGAGATATTCCCTCCCAGGGAGAACGGAGCCTGCAGGGAGCCTGCAGATACCATCTCTTCCTTCATCCTCCAGCTGACCCTGTTCTGTACAGCTGGAGGCCTTAGTCGCCAGGAACCTGTGACAAACCTCAGGGGAAGCCAGTCACCCCTTAGCTGCCCGGAGCTGCAGCGGCCTTCGGAGGCAGCAGAAGCCTTGGGGCCTCTTCACAACCTCGCCCTGCCCCAGCCTGGATGAGAGAGGCTGCAGGCCTGGCACCTTCGGGGTGGCCAGAAATGAGGACAGCCAGGCCTGCAGTCACTGCCAATGAACAGATGCTCTGGATGGTTCCAGAGCTCCAAGAGCATTCCCACAGCCTCTGTTTGGAATGCAGGAAGTAGGCGTGGAAGGCCTTCCAGGAGCAATTTGGGCAAACCTGTTGGATGTCTGCTCAGGAGGCAAAGTGGGGCTCAGGGTCACCCCTGCTCCAAAGCAATGCACCATTGTCTCCTAGCATCTCAGTCCAAACAGAAACGTCCTGCAGTGAGGAACACACAGCGCCCAGCCCTGCTCTCCAAAACTCTCTGCAGTTTGGTGTTGTGGAAGAAACCCCACTTAGTAGCTGTGACCTGGGAAGATATTCCATGCCTCAGTTTCCTTGCTGCTAACTGAGGATAATACCTGGCCTCCAATCCAACTGCCATCAGCCTCCTAGACAACTTTCTCAGCTGCTTTCTGATTATGTCACTTGCCCATTTAAAATCCTTCAAAGCAGCCAGGCATGGGGACTCATGCCTGTAATCCCAGCACTTTGGGAGGCCGAGGCAGGTGGATCACTTGAGGTCAGGGGTTCAAGACCAGCCTGGCCAATATGGTGAAACCCTGTCTCTACTAAAAATACAAAAATCAGCTGGGCATGGTAGCACCCAGCTATTCGGGAGGCTGAGGTAGGAGAATTGCTTGAACCTGGAAGGTACAGGTTGCAGTGAGCCGAGATCACGCCATTGCACTCCAGCCTGGGAGTCATAGCAAGACTCCATCTCAAAAAAGAAAGAAAAAGGAAAAAAATCATCCTTCAAAGCTAACACTGCCTTCAGGAAAAAGTCCAAACTCCAGAGCCTGGCACACCAGGCCTTTTGTATCTGGACCCCTGTCTTCTTGAGTCTCAGCACTCACCCTTCCCCAGAGGGTCTGGTTTTATCAAATGGACTTGGCATTCCTAGAGCAAACTGCACTCACATCCCATGGCTTTGCAGTCATTTGGCCTGGGATGCCCTTCCTCAATTTTCCCCTCGGTAAAACCACTCCCAAACTCAACTCACGGGTCACTTCCCCTGGGAGGCTGCGCATGACCACACCTCGTTCCTCTAGGTAGAATGAAATGCTTCCTCCTTGTCCCTTCCACAGCAGCCAGCACACACTCATCCCTAGACTGTGAGATGCTTCAGGACAAGAACGGGGCCTTAACAGTTTTGTTTCCCTGGTACCTTACACGGAGTAAGGAGCCCACCAGGTACTCAGCATTTGTGGAATGAATGAGCAAGTGACTGAATGAGGCCATCAAGCCACTGTATCATAATGACTTATTTAAGCCTCTTTCCTCTACAGACATATAAACATCAGACCCCTCAAGGACAAAGACCGTAAAGACCTTCAGTCCTGTCTCTGGGTTTCTCTCCGTGATCAACTTTGGCAACAGAACAGCAGGGACCATTGAGCCTGGCACCCCTGGGGACTTCTAAGTCTCATGAGGAGGGAGGGGATGGGAAGGATTTCCCAGCATCTTTAAACCATATTCCTATGTCACTTTTAAGATCCAGGACACATTGCCACGTGCAATACATGTTGGTGCCTTTTTTTCTAGTTTCAGGCAGGCCAGGGGCCTGTTTCCAGAGGCTTCTTCTCATTAGGCCAGCTCTTGTCCTAGGCAGGACTTGAGCGTGACTGGGGTAGGCCTGGCCCTGTCCTCTTTCTGTGCACATTAGAACAAGCCTAGACTGTCCAGTCCCCCAGTCTCACATTCCCCAGGGCATGCTTTCTCCTCTGCTCTCTTGGGTCTCAGATTCGTACCCAAGCATGTGGGCTGGGCGCTAACGGGAAACCAACAACGTGCTACTCATCCTGCCATGGGGACCTCTGCGTCTCCTCTAGCCTTAAACTCAGCCAGGTGAGGGTCCCTCTTCTGTGCTTCTACATCATTCTGACGTCCCCAGGCGGGACTCTTGGCTCCCTGTCCTATAACTGTTTACTTGTCATTTCCCTAGTCTGCCTGTGAGCTTTTTAAGGGCAAGCACTGTGATGTGACTTGCCATTGCACCCCCAGAGCCTGACCCAAGGCCTAAGACAGAGTGAGCCCTCAAATGACTAGCAAATGATATATAAAAGCTGGACTCTGGGCCTCAGCTGAAACCTGACCCTCCTCCTCTAGTCAGCATATGGCCCGATGGCAGTGGGAGATGGGCTGGGGCAGTGGCAGCAGTGTCTTGTCCAGCAGTGACTCCCCCAGTGAGGTCTGTGGAGGTCTTTGGGCTGGAGGCACCATCCTACAGTGAGGGGTGGACCGGAAGAGAAAAACCCAAATGAGAGGTTCCTCCTACAGCATACATTGAGCTAGGGCCTCCAGGGCTGTGGGAGGGCTTGGCAGGCATCTGCGGCCCTCTTCCTGGCTCCACCACTCAGGGAAGATTCAAAGAGCCTTGCAGGGCAGGCACACTACTCAGGCTCAGATATTGGCCTTGACCCCTACAGTTGACCCTTCCTGACCCCTCATGACCTCCCGTCTAGCCCCTCTGTGTGGCTCCATGTCAGTCCTACTAATATCCATTCTGCTGCCCTTTAGCTTCCTGAAGCTCAAGGAAGAGAGGTGTGTATTGCATCTTCGGGTATTCTCCTTTGACCCTTTTTGAGGGCCCAGCTAAAGCCAGTCTGCACTCTCTGAGAAGGCTCAGTTTGGCCAAGTGATCAGATGGGACAAGGTGCCCTTCTGTCAGCTCTGGTCCTGGGCATACAGAACATCCCAGACCAGAGACCAGAGACCAGAGCAAGGGGCAAGGGGCAGGCGCGACCTCCATCTCCCACATCCTCCTGCCTCCAGTGAAGGTCCGCCTTAACTCTCCCAGCCAGAGAAGGCCCTCTCTGCGTCTTTTAGCAATCCTCTTTAAAGACCCTCAAGAAAAGTCCTTCCCCAGCCGCCCCGTGTTTCTGAGATCCCACACTCTAGAGCCTTTCCTTAGGTCTTCCTTAAATCCCAGAGGAAACAGCTTCCATCTGTTTCCTTCCACTTGCTCTGGCACAGAAACTGATACCCACCATCTTTTACACAATAAATCGGAGAAGAAATGAAGCGTGTCAAGTTCCCCCACCCAGCAGCCCTGTCTCAGCCTGATATCCCGTGTCCAGCTCTCTTGATGGCCTGTCATGGGACCTCCAGTCCTGTCTCTGGGTTTCTCTCCATGCCCAATTTTGGCAACAGAACGGCAGGGGCCTTTGAGCCTGGCATCCCTGGGGACCTCTCAGTCTCATGAGGAGGGAGGGGACGGGGAGGATTTCCCAGCATCTCTAAACCATATTCCTATTTATACTCCACCCCACCAGGCTGGCCCACACCGCCCAGTGCCCACATTCTGACAGGAACCTCTGGCCGATCATCTCTGACCTTCCTCGTTCCAATCTGAGAGACGGGCTTAAAAGAGCGGCTTCGTGTCACCACCAAGAACTCCAATGGGATTCTCTGACCAGCTCCCAGCTTCTGGTACTTGGATTGTCCCGCCCCTCCCGCCTCACACTCAGAATGGCCTCCCTCCTGCCAGGATGGGCCCAGGAGGCCTCCTTGGCCTGTATGGCCTCCCCCAGGGAGCCTCTAAACATCTTGTAGTTGTTCAACTGTTCTCTAAATGTCCCTTATCAGTGTTACTCACTCACCAGGACTCAGCCCCCTCAAAATCACTCACTCATCGTACCTGCTCCACGCCAGGCACGGTCCTGGGCCCTGGGTCTCTGATTCCACTCCCTTGGCCTCCTGGGTCTCTTCCTACTTCTTCTTCCCTCCTGGGTCTGGTAGACTCACTTCCTCTACCTGTCCCTTGAATGTCAACACTCCCACAATTCCCTCTTTGGCCCTTTGCTCTTCCCCTCTGGGCATGCTTCCTGGGTGACCTCATTCCCTCCCGAAGGGGAAACCACCACCCATGTGCTGATGACTCCAGATCTGTAGCCCTGGCTCCACCAAGTCCCTGAGCTCTAGGTGCTTGAGTTCAGCTGCCTGCTGGGCACCCTGCCTGGGTGTCCCCTAAAGGGTTCAGTTTGAGGTGTGTGTGTGTGTGTGTGTGTGTATTTTTTAAGTATTTTGGAGATGGTGTCTCTCCCTGTCACCCACACTGGAGTGCAGTGGCGCTATCTTGGCTTTCCGCAACCTCTGCCTTCTGGGTTCAAGCAATTCTCCTACCTCAGCCTCCTGAGTAGCTGGGACTACAGGCGCACGACACCACACCTGGCTAATTTTTTATATTATAATAGAGACAGGGTTTCACTATGTTGCCCAGGCTGGTCTTGAACTCCTGAGCTCAGGCAATTCGCTCACCTCCGGCTCCTAAAATGCTAGGATTACAGGTGTGAGCCACCCCACCCACCTGAGATGTGTTTTTAAGTGAAGAGGGCAGATGGGTACAGTTTGTAAAAAGCTGTATGTCACCCAGCGCAGTGGCTCACGCCTGTAATCCCAACACTTTGGGAGGCCAAGGCGGAAGGATCACAAGACCAGGAGATCAAGACCATCCTGACTAACATGGTGAAACCCCATCTCTACTAAAAATACAAAAAATTAGCCGGGTGTGGTGGCACGCACCTGTAGTCCCAGCTACTCAGAAGGCTGAGGCAGGAGAATTGCTTGAACCCAGGAGGTGGAGTTGCAGTGAATCGAGATTGCAACACTGCACTCCAGCCTGGGCGACAGAACGAGACTCCGTCTAAAAAAAAAAACCTGTACATATGCAGGATATACATATGTGCCACAGGCATGCACATATAAACACAGCATACTGTGAGATAACCCAGAAGGCAATAAGTCAAAACACCAAGAGTAGTTATCCCTAGGTGGTAGAATTATGGGTGATTTCAATGTCTTTTTACTTATCTGCATCTTTTAATATTTCCATAATGAACATTTATTGCTTACATAAGAAGAAAAGAGCAACACTTCTTTTTAAATGAAAAGAAAGTACTTTTAGATTGAGATCCTGGAACGGTTTAGTGCAAGGCCTGGAGAGAACTCTGATTGTCTTGAGCAGGGGTCAGCGAGCTTTTTCCGTAAGAGGCCAGACAGCCACTATTTTAGGCTTTGCGGGCCATCTCTTCTGTTGCAACTCTGCAACTCTGCCTTTGTAGCACAAAAGCACCCACGGGCAAGATGTAAATGAATGAGTTTGGCCTCACACCAGTAAAACTTTACTATGAACACTAATATTCTAATTTTATAAATATTTAAGGGTCACAACACGTTATTTTCTTCTTTTGACTTTTTGCCGACCACTTAAAAATGTAAAAACCATTCTTAGCTCATGGGCCATACAAAAACAAGCAGCACTTGGCCGAGAGCCATGGTTTGCTAACCCCTGGCCTGGCCTTGAGCACCTAAGGCCTATGTAGTGTTTGAATCCAGCATCCATTTCTTTGCCAGGTACTTGTTCTCCTCCTAATTGACAGGGGTGAAGCCTTTGGGGATTTCCTTGCCCATCTGAGCATGGCAGGGACCACATACCCAGACATCAGCTGAGGGAAGCCCCTGGCTCTGAAGTTTGGAGGAAGAGAAAGCTGAGCCCCTCCTGAGGCACCAGCACACGTCTTGCCTTGTTAGCAGGACTGGCAAAAGTCAGAGCCTCGACCAGCAGCCTCAGAGAGGGCTTTGGAAATCTCCTGGTCTACACCCTCATGTTTTAGCCAAAGAATGCAAGACTCAGAAAGGTGAGCGATCTGCCTGAGGCCACTGAGGGTGACAGGGCAGAGCTGGGACTAGACTTCTGACTGTGCAGGGTTGGAAGGGACTGCATGGGCACTCCCTTTATTGGGCACCACAGCAAAGGAAGTTGCAGCCTACCCAAGGGCCACCTTCCTTGGGGAAGGAGCCATGTCATGTTTGGCACCCACACAGAATGTGGCACCCAGCCCAGCCACTGCAGGGGATTATGCCAGCTGGGCTCCATGGCAGGATCAGGGAGGGTCTCTGTGACCCCTTTCCTGGCCTTATCCCACGCTGCAGGCAGAGTTGGGAGCTGGCACTGCTTCTGTCTAGAGTGATGCCCTCCAGCAAAACACCTACCGCCCACCTGCTTCCAGGCAGTGGGTGCTGCCAGGATGTGGGACGGACGGACAGCCTTGTCCCCTCTGGGCTGGTCACGCTGGGCTCTTCACTGAGAAGAGAAGAATGTCTGTTTCCTAAGGAGACTCCCCAAGCAGAAAAGGGCAGGCTTCTTTAGGGAAGCAAGGTGTGAGACTCAGATGGGAAGGGAAATCCTGGAAGGCCTTCTGGAGCTCTGTCTTCCCTCCATAATGATAAGATGGAGAACAGTGTTCAGAGTGAGGGAGGGTATAAAAAAATTTTTTTTTTTTTTTTTTTCTGAGACGGAGTCTCATTCTGTTGCCCAGGCTGGAGTGTAATGGTACAATCTCAGTTCACTGCAACCTCTGCCTCCTGGGTTCAAGCAATTCTCCTGCCTCGGCCCCTGGAGTAGCTGGGATTACAGGTGCCTGCCACCACGCCTGGCTAATTTTTGTATTTTTTGTAGAGACTGGGTTTCACCATGTTGGCCAGGCTGTCTCAAACTCCTGACCTCAGGTGATCCGCCCACCTGGGACTTCCAAAGTGTGGGGCCTCCATGCCTGGCCTGAAACATTTTAAGAATAAAGTTCTCTTCCCAATTTGGGGCCCGAGCCCTAATGTTTGCAGGGACCCAGACTTCAGAAAAAATATTAAGTGGGGTCAAAGGCACTGAGAACTACCAAATATAGCCCATTAACTCTGCTACCGCCCCTCAGTAACGACATCAGGTAAGGAAAGAGCTACTGGGTGGACATTATCTCACTGGAGTCCTCTCAAGCACATGAGATAATAATATTATCCTCCCATTTTATAAATGAGGAACCTGAAACCTGGGTGAACAAATGAGTTAACCTAAGGCGACCTGTTACTGAGTGGAGGAGGCAGGATTTGAACTAACCCCAAAGTCTGCAAAGTGCCTCCACCCCTGGCAGGCAGGAGACATACACTCAACACATAAATAATCATGAGTGCAGCGGCCAGCCATTATTGGGTCATTTTGTCTACCCCCACCCTGTCATCTCTAGGGAAGACTTTTATTTAATGGTATGGGGTAGGGAGGCTCACAGGCTAGGATCATTATCAAGAAAGAGGATCTCACCATTGTCTTTTCAAAAATTCTGGCCCATGTCTCCCAGAGAAGGGTGTCTGGTCTCACCAGGGTTACTCACGCTGTCAGGGAACTTCGCTTCAAGACCCCTTTCTTTTTCCCCCACCCAGGTAGTGTTGAGACCTTGGCTCACTGCAACCTCCACCTCCAGGGTTCAAGCGACCCTCCTACCTCAGCCTCCCAAGTAGCTGGGATTACAGGCACACACCACCATGCCCAGCTGATTTTGTATTTTTAGTAGAGATGGTTTTAGTTTTATCACGTTGGCCAGGCTGTTTTCCAACTCCTGGCCTCAAGTGATCCACCTACCTTGGCCTCCCAAAGTGCTAGGATTACAGATATGAGCCACCATGCCCAGCCCAAGACCGTTTTCAACTTTTTTTTTTTTTTTTTTGCAGGAGACAAGTTCTCATTCTGTTGGCCAGGCTGGAGTGCAGTAACACAACCATGGATCACTACAGCCTCAACCTCCTAGGCTCACATGGTCCTCCCCTCTCAGTCTCCCCAGTAGCTGGGACTATAGGCACATGCCACCACACCTGGCTAATTTTTGTATTTTTTTGTAGAGATGGGGTCTTGCCATGTTGCCCAGTCTGGTTTTGAACTCCTGTGCTCAAGCAATTTGCCCACCTCCCTTTTCAGTTTAAAACCAAACCTCACACTTGCCTCACTACCCCTCCTCCTCTGCAGATGTAGCTGTGGAGATTCTAGGAGCAGATGGGTTCTCTCTGACAGGAGGTCTGGCGGAGATGCACCCACGGCTTTCCCTCTTCCAGACTTGCCACTGAACCACTGGCCAGCTCCAGCCAGGCTCAGCTACCAGCTCTGCAGTGATCCTGGGTCCCAGATCCTTGGCCTGAGCTGTGGTGAGCCCAGCCTGTGTGTGGGTGTGCATGCACGTGTGTGTGTGTAAGCAGCTGTGGGAGCCAGGACAAGATTAACCTTGGTCTGCTCCTACCCACTGGATATGGGGAAGTGCCCACTCAGCAGGGAATGCCTGGAGGGCAAAGGTGAAAAGTCCAGGAAAGGAGACAGAGGGGTTATGGTGGGACATGTGGCCAAGGAAGAGAAATGTGACTTCTTCCCAAAGGTGGGCTAATCAGGTGGGCCTGGAACCAGGCCAGCCACTCACTCTGGACAACAGAGCAGAACATAAGTACCAGGGGAGGGTCCTCCTACCCCAGGGAAAAAAGGCGCTGCCAGAGGCCCCTCAGAGCAGAAGGCTGCTGCCTCTCCAGCTCCAGCCTGACTCACTCATACCTGCTAAAAGGTAGGACCCCCACAGCACAGATTCCTGGCCCCCTTAGGCCAGGCACAGTGGCTCACGCTTATAATCCCAGCACTTTGAGAGGCCGAAGTGGGCAGATCACGAGGTCAGGAGTTCGAGACCAGCCTGACCAACATGGTGAAACCCCATCTCTACTAAAAATACAAAAATCAGTTGGGCACCTGTAATCCCAGCTACTCAGGAGGCTGAGGCAGGAGAATTGCTCGAAACCAGGAGGCGGAGGTTGCAGTGAGCAGAGATTGTGCCATTGCACTCCAGCCTGGGCAACAGTGCAAGACTTCGTTTCAAAAAAAAAAAACCATTCCTGGCTCCTCCTGGAAGATTTCCATCTAACCCATCCCTCTACCACCACCACTATTCTCGTACACAGAGCCCTCCTCCTTAACCTGGAAAAGCAGTAAAGATTCTGTCTAACTAAGGGCTTGGCTTGATGGGGCTGGTAAAATCTACCTTGGTCTCTAGATCAGCCATGGTGCAATCGCTAGGAAATTTCCTTTCCAAACAAGCACCGCCAGCCACGACAGCTAACAGTTATTTGGTCTCTGCTGCATACCAGGCACTGTGCATTCTTTCATTTAAATCTTATAACAGCCCTCTCTATTATGATCCTCATTTTACAGATGAGGGAGCTGATGCTAAGAGAAGCTCGCGAGTGTGCTGGTGAGAGGAAGTCACATAGCTACCAAATGCTGGAGCTGGATTCCACCAAGGCCAGAGGTTTGCCCTCCCCTTTAGGTCTCTAGCTCAGTTAGAGAAGAAAAGAAGGAATCAGAGGACAGGTAGATGGAGATGCCGGACAAAAGTCCCAACAGGGTGATCCCAGGAAGTAGAGGCTTGGTTAGGGTAGGCACTGGGGAGAGTCAAGCCAGACTCTGCCTTACAGTGTGGGATGCATTCCCAAGTGTAGGAAGGTCCAGGCAGGCAGAGGACAGAGTCCGAG